GTTGTGGTGGTGGTGTTGTGGTGTTGGTGGTGGTGGTGGTGTGGTGTTGGTGTTGGTGGTGGTGGTGTTGTGGTGGTGGTGGTGTTGTGGTGTTGTGGTGGTGGGGTGGTGGTGGTGGTGGTGGTGGTGGTGGTGGTGTTGGTGTGGTGTTGGTGGTTGTTGTTGTTGTTGTTGTTGTTGTTGTTGTTGTTGTTGTTGTTGTGGTGGTGGTGGTGGTGGTGGTGGTGGTGGTGGTGGGTGGGTGGGGTGTGTGTGTGTGTGTGTGTGTGGTGTGTGTTTGTGTACTCACCTAACTGTACTCACCTAATTGTAGTTGCAGTGGTCGAGACTCGGCTCCTGGCCCCGCCTCTTCACTGAACCTTACTAGGTCCTCTCTCTCCCTGCTCCATGAGCTTTATCATACCTCGTCTTAAAGCTATGTATGGTTCCTGCCTCCACTACATCGCTCGCCAGACTGTTCCACTTCCTGACCACTTTATGACTGAAGAACTGCTTCCTAACATCCCTGTGACTCATCTGAGTCTTCAAATTCCAAGAGTGACCCCGTGTTTCTGTGTCCCCTCTCTGGAACATCTGGTCTCTGTCCACCTTGTCTCTTCCACGCAGTATTTTGTATGTCGTTATCATGTCTCTCCTATCCCTCCTGTCCTTCAGTGTCGTCAGGCCGATTTCTCTCAATCTTTCTTCATAGGATATTCCCCTTAGCTCTGGAACTAACATTGTCGCAAACCTTTGCACTTTCTCTAATTTCTTAATGTGCTTGACCCAGTGCGGGTTCCAAACTGGTGCTGCATACTCCAGTATGGGCCTGACGTACACGGTGTACAGTGTCTTGAAAGGTTCCTTACTTAGGTATCGGAACGCTAATCTCAGGTTTGCCAGGCGTCCATATGCTACAGCAGTTATCTGGTTGATGTTTGCTTTCGGAGATGTGTTCGGTGTTATACTCACGCCAAGATCTTTCTCCTTGAGCGAGGTTTGCAGTCGTTGGCCACCTAGCCTATACTGTTTGCGGTCTCCTTTGCCTTTCTCCGATCTTCATGACTTTGCATTTGGCAGGGTTGAATTCGAGAAGCCAGTTGCTGGACCACGTGTCCAGCCCGTCCAGGTCTCTTTGAAGTCCTCCCTGATCCTCATCTGATTTAATTCTCCTCATTAACTTCACATCATCTGTGTGTGTGTGTGTGTGTGTGTGTAATATATATATATATATATATATATATATTATATATATATATATATATATATATATATATATATATATATATATATATATAGCCGAATAGGGCAAGCGAAAATCCTGAACCTAACAAAAAAAATGTATTTCATTGTGTTTGTCTATTATTAAATTACTGTAAATTATCTAAAATATATTTAGCTGGATTAGGCTAAATTAAATTGTGCCTGTTATAATAAGGTTAGGTAAGTTTTCTAAGGTTCTTTTGGTAGAAAATTATTAATTTTTACATTAACATAAATGAAAAATATACATCTTTAAACGTATAAGAGAAAATTTTAAAAAATTTAATTTTAAACAAGTTTTGCTAATTGACCAATTTTACCCATTCGCCACAAGATTATACATATATAAATCGGGAAGAAATTACAATACAAGACTACATGAAAAAATACCACAGTGACCAGATGACAGGTGCAGGTGTTGATACTAGGTTCTGAAGCTTGTACATGCAATCTCCACTGATTTAAATAGAACCAGGTTACCGGCTAATACAATGATAGTTGTTCTTGACATGCTGGACTAGTAATGATACATCTTGTACATATGTAAAACATTTTGTGTTCAGACAGCCTGAGTTACTCCAGCTGCTGCCATGTCTGCTATTAGTTCAGTACTGATTGGTTAATGTGGTTAAAGCCTATCTACTATATGAGGGTCATTAAGGTTGAAGATAACATTTTCACCTGTCAAAAATACTTTAATTTCTAAAATATAACATATATACGCTGATAGACGTACACCTCTCTGTGTATATAGGCTGATAGACGTACACCTGTGTATATACGCTGATAGACGTACACCTGTGTATATACGCTGATAGACGTACACCTCTCTGTGTATATACGCTGATAGACGTACACCTCTGTGTATATACGCTGATAGACGTACACCTCTCTGTGTATATACGCTGATAGACGTACACCCCTCTGTGTATATACGCTGATAGACGTACACCTCTGTGTATATACGCTGATAGACGTACACCTCTCTGTGTATATATCGTCCATACAGCACTGAATGATGAAGGAAAGTTCTTTGTAACATCAACAACACGGTGTTGTTATACATACTTTAGTATTAAGTAAATTATATCTCCAAGGAATGGAAGAGGAACTGAAGAAACAGAATGAAGAGAAAGGAGATTAATTAAACGAAGAAGAAAACATGCAAAATAGTAAGAAAATTATGAATTGGGGAAAGCGGAGATGCAGTTAGACAAATTACATATTGCAGCTAGTGTATTGTGCAACCCCATATCCATCCTGTGGACGGTAGTGGGTAATTTATTGTGTACCACATAGATGGCAGCACAAGAGCATATGGATACACGAAAGGCCTAGAAAGTAGACCCCAAAAGGGTCAACATAAGTACGTCTGGATTTAGATCAACTGACTTAACTGTTAAAAGCAAATTTAGAAAATTTGCTTAATACGTTGTATCTTATTTTCATTAACAAGATGCCTTTATATATCACAGGTTATTATACTGTATGTATATATTCCTTAATAAGTGGATAATTTTAAACACAGTGTTCAAGACAGTGACCACAGGGCTGGTCACACCTGGTTTGATCATCATTCGTGTGTCTGCCAAACTGCCAAAAATACTTGTAACCAAGCTTAAGCCTGGCTATTCTATCAGTCCGTATGTTCACATTGACAGTTCCTCCATAAACGTAATCTTCGTTCATATTAAACACAAACCAGGGAGATGGTATGAGACATGGACCATGGAGATATAGTGGCTACACAAGTTTTTTTTTTCTCCACTTTTTTATCATTGAGGGACGGTGATGTAGTCAATTTACTGTTAGCCGCCGGCCGCTGCGGGGTCAACACCGAACACTCAACTGGAGCAATGACCGCAGTGTACCTACGACTAGAACGGTGTTTTGTCCGTCAGGAAACGGGTGTCTCCTGATGACCCGCTCTGTGATTAAACAACCACTGGTGTACCAGTGTTGGGTATCAGTGAACTTCTAATGTTTTCTGATGCGCATATATAAAGTGTACACCAGTTGACGTTCCCTGGTGTACACAGTGTGCACCAGCTGACATTCTCTAGTGTACACAGTGTACACTAGCTTACAGTCCCTGGTGTACACAAACTTACAATTCACTTTCACATGCAAACGACTGCAAACAAAAACACGACAAATCATCTTTTCACAATGTAAGCTCTAAGTAGAGCTTTTCAAAGCTCTAATTGGAGCGAAACTGCCAATAATGGCTTCGTCCACACCTGTCACTGTTTTGCCCCATCCACGACACGAGTGCTACCACGACGAGTACACTACCTGGCTAGGTCTAAGGTATTTACAACCCAGAGTACACTATCCTGACTAGATCCGAGATACATTTAATCCTATATTGACGTTTCGCCCATACAGTGGCCTTTATCATGTCACAAACAGATTAAACACATAAGACTCCCTGTTTGGGCTAAACATCGCCATTAATGGCTTTACTATAACTACATTTAAGCGTGTTTACCAGTACACTAGCCTACCTGTCAAGCCTAACTCTACTGGTATTTTACCTGTCAAGCCTAACTCTACTGGTATTTTACCTGTCAAGCCTAACTCTACTGGCATTTTACCTGTCAAGCCTAACTCTACTGGCATTTTACCTGTCAAGCCTAACTCTACTGGTATTTTTCCTGCAAGCCTAATCTAAATGGTATTTTACCCGTCAAGCCTAACTCTACTGGCATTTTACCTGTCAAGCCTAACTCTACTGGCATTTTACCTGTCAAGCCTAACTCTACTGGTATTTTACCTGTCAAGCCTAACTCTACTGGTATTTTACCTGTCAAGCCTAACTCTACTGGTATTTTACCTGTCAAGCCTAACTCTACTGGTATTTTACCTGTCAAGCCTAACCCCTTTCTGGCATTTTACCTGTCAAGCCTAACTCTACTGGTATTTTACCTGTCAAGCCTAACTCTTTCTGGTATTTTACCTGTCAAGCCTAACTCTTTCTGGCATTTTACCCGTCAAGCCTAACTCTACTGGTATTTTACCTGTCAAGCCTAACCTACTGGTATTTTAACTGTTTAAGCCTAACTCTACTGGTATTTTACCTGTCAAGCCTAACTCTACTGGTATTTTACCTGTCAAGCCTAACTCTACTGGCATTTTTCCTGTCAAGCCTAAAATTACTGGTATTTTACCTGTCAAGCCTAACTCTACTGGTATTTTTACCTGTTTAAGCCTAACTCTACTGGCATTTTACCTGTCAAGCCTAACTCTACTGGTATTTTACCTGTCAAGCCTAACTCTACTGGCATTTTACCTGTCAAGCCTAACTCTACTGGTATTTTACCTGTCAAGCCTAACTCTACTGGTATTTTACCTGTCAAGCCTAACTCTACTGGTATTTTACCTGTCAAGCCTAACTCTACTGGCATTTTACCTGTCAAGCCTAACTCTACTGGCATTTTACCTGTCAAGCCTAACTACTGGTATTTTACCTGTCAAGCCTAACTCTACTGGTATTTTACCTGTCAAGCCTAACTCTACTGGTATTTTACCTGTCAAGCCTAACTCTACTGGTATTTTACCTGTCAAGCCTAACTCTACTGGTATTTTACCTGTCAAGCCTAACTCTACTGGCATTTTACCTGTCAAGCCTAACTCTACTGGTATTTTATCTGTCAAGCCTAATTCCACTGATGCTGTACATGTCAAGCTTAACTCCACTAGCATTTACCAATACACAAGCTTACCTGTCAAGCTTAACTCTACTGGTGTTTCCTCACCTGCCATTCTGGTCCAGTTCAATGAGGTCGGGTGAACCTCCATCGACGTACCTGCAACATACAACACACCGGTTAATTTACGTCAGATGCTGTCAGCAACAGCTTGGTTAATAAAGGGGCTCGACAAGAAATCCAGGCCTCAGGTAGGGCTGCTAAGGTAGAAGAACCCTTGAAACCAATCACAGGTATGTGTATATTTACGTAGTGACTTGGCTTATTAGACAAGCCAGACAAGAAAAAGATTTACCCTCCCACACACACACACACACACACTGTGTGTGTGTGTGTGTGTGTGTGTGTGTGTGTGTGTGTGTGTGTGTTGTGTGTGTGTAACCTTGATAATGTTAAGTAAAAACAGATCAATCCTGCCCAACTTAGTAAGATGAGTCTAGATTTAGTGTTGTATAGCATGAAATCTAAGTATTCTGATCAGACTGATTTTCACACATTTCAATAAAGGAAAAAAGAAAACGAGCATATCTGGCTAAACGAGACTTGCTTAATAAGGTAAATCAGGAAGCTGGTGTTGAGGACCCTGTCTTCAGTGAAGCACCACATTACCCCCTTCAGTATACTACAGAAATGCTGGTGTGGATAGTTTGCACTTGTTTCAGATGTGCTGGTACATAGGCGGTGCTGAGAGAATACTACTAACATCTAGTACCTTCACTGATCACATTGACTGATTGTGTCTTATAGGAGTCGGAGGAGGTCGTGTTGCACGACTTCATTCATTTCTGAACTGCCCGACTGAGTTCTTTACAACACTTCAGCAAGCCGCCGCCCCCTCTCTCTCTAATATATATGTCGTGCTGAATAGGCAAAACTTGCAATTTTGGCTTAAACAGCAACGCTCTTCTTACCGGATAAGGCAAGCGAAAATTTGTGTATGCAGTAATTTCATAAAAATAATTCTGAACCTAACGAAAAAAAATATATTTCATTGTGTTCGTTTATTAAATTATTGTAAACTTACACAACACACACACACACACTTTGTCAATGGTCCAAGTCGGACCGAAACGTCGTCGTAAGCTTCTGTCTTTTATGTGCGGGTTATTTGTGTATCGTTCCAGTCACGGTATTGTGCCTTTTTGTTATTTAGTTATTTATTTATTTATTGTAAACTTGCCTAAAATATATTTAGTTGGATTAGGCTAAATTCAATTACGCTTGATAGAATAAGGTTAGGTAAGTTTTCTAAGGTGCTTTTGGTGCAAAATTATTAATTTTTACATTAACATAAATGAAAAAATATATATCTTTAAATGTACAAGAGGCAATTTTAGGAAGGACTTAATTTTAAAAGTTCTTGCTAATTGACCAATTTTACCTATTCGAAACGATTATATATATATATATATATATATATATATATATATATATATATATATATATATATATATATACAAAACAACCACTAGTTCCTTGATAATGTGAGTAGTCACGAAAGCGCTTGGAATTTCTCTATTCTTTCAGAGTGGTTGTTTTGCATATTCTGAAATCACCTGTTTACTGTGATCTTATTGCATATATATATATATATATATATATATATATATATATATATATATATATATATATATATATATATATTATATATATATATATATATATAAATCACTGCGCTAGCGAAGGATTCGAACCCATGTTGTACTTGCCTGCCTCATGGTAAGCGAGAACCACATGACTCTTTAAACCACAGGACCACCCAACCCTACAAGAATGGCGCAGCCAGCACACAGCTAGCTGTTGGGCCGCCATCCGAGGGCATACGGAGGTGTGGGAGCTTCTAAGCTAATTTCATTCTCATCCCTCTTTGGTGTACTAGCCTCACGAGCAGTATTTATATATTACTGTAACCACGAACGAGTGGTATTGATCAATAACAACACTGCGCTAGCCAAGGATTCGAACCCATGTTGTACTGGCCTGCCTCATGGTAAGCGAGAACCACATGACGCTTTAAACCACAGGACCACCCAACCCTCCGTATGCCCTCGGATGGTGGCCCAACAGCTAGCTGTGCGCTGGTTGCACCATTCTTGTAGGGTTGGGTGGTCCTGTGGCTTAAAGAGTCATGTGGTTCTCGCTTACCATGAGGCAGGACAGTGCAACATGGGTTCTATATATATATATATATTATATATATATTATATATATATATATATATATATATATATATATATATATATATATATATATAATATATATATATATATAATATATATATATATATATATATATATATATATATATATATATATATATACATACATATATACATACATATATACATACATATATTGCAATCGCAAACAGGCGCTTTTTACAATGGTGAAGAAGTCACTTGGGGATGGAACTCTTTAGCTCTTGATCTTTCGCACTCTCGTGTATAGTGTGGAGCTATGCAATGTTGTAAGAATGAACAGACGGGGAAAATTCCGTGAGGCAAGGCAGGAGGTATCAGTGGTAACCCATGTCACAGTGACACGTGGCTGGGCAGGGTTGGACTTGCATTACAAGGGGGGCAGCAAAGGGGAAGCCTGGACCGGGCCCCAGGGGCGTTGACTCTGAGGGTCATCTTCGGATAACCCTTGCCACATCAGTGCCACCTTTACAGTGACGCCTATGCCCCTATAGTACCGTAACTTCCCAAGGTTGTATGTTCGTCTGCAATGTTGTACGTTCTTCCCCCCCCCTCCCCCGGTGTCGTATGTTCGTCGCCAGTGCTTCCTGAGTGCCACCCGTCCAGTGCTTCCTGAGTGCCACCCACCCAGTGCTGCCTGAGTGCCACCCACCCAGTGCTTCCTGAGTGCCACCCACCCAGTGCTTCCTGAGTGCCACCCACCCAGTGCTTCCTGAGTGCCACCCGTCCAGTGCTTCCTGAGTGCCACCCACCCAGTGCTTCCTGAGTGCCACCCGTCCAGTGCTTCCTGAGTGCCACCCACCCAGTGCTTCCTGAGTGCCACCCACCCAGTGCTTCCTGAGTGCCACTCACCCAGTGCTTCCTGAGTGCCACCCGTCCAGTGCTTCCTGAGTGCCACCCACCCAGTGCTTCCTGAGTGCCACCCGTCCAGTGCTTCCTGAGTGCCACCCACCCAGTGCTTCCTGAGTGCCACCCACCCAGTGCTTCCTGAGTGCCACCCACCCAGTGCTTCCTGAGTGCCACCCACCCAGTGCTTCCTGAGTGCCACCCACCCAGTGCTGCCTGAGTGCCACCCACCCAGTGCTTCCTGAGTGCCACCCACCCAGTGCTGCCTGAGTGCCACCCTCCCAGTGTTCCCTGGTACAGGCGTGACAGCCACCAGCAGCTGGGTGTGTCTGGTGCTCATAAAAGTGGCATAAGTTTGAGAATAATTAATCATGGTGATAAGACGAGAAATTAATGGAGGCAGTTTACTGGTTCATCGAGTATCTTAAGTGTAACACGGGACACTTAAGTGACTAGTGATGCAATCTCCAGTGTCGTGAGTATCACAAGACTCTGTACTGACCAAACACACACTCCCAGTGTCGTATCACACACACACACACACACACACACACACACACACACACACACACACACAAGGCACATCTCCTGAGGCACACATCAACCAAATAGCTACTGCAGCATATGGGCGCCTAGCAAACCTCAGAACAGCATTCCGACATTTTAATAAGGAATCGTTCAGGACCCTGTACACCGTGTACGTTAGGCCCATATTGGAGTATGCGGCACTAGTTTGGAACCCACACCTAGCCAAGCTAAGGGGTATGTCCTACGAGAAGAGGTTAAGGGAAATCGACCTGACGACACTGGAGGACAGGAGAGATAGGGGGGACATGATAACGACATACAAAATACTGAGAGGAACTGACAAGGTGGATAAAGACAGGATGTTCCAAAGATGGGACACAGCAACCAGGGGACACAGTTGGAAGTTGAAGAGAGATGAATCACAGGAATGTTAGGAAGTATTTCTTCAGCCACAGAGTAGTCAGGAAGTGGAACAGTTTGGGAAGCGATGTAGTGGAGGCAGGATCCATACACAGCTTTAAGCGAAGGTATGATGAAGCTCACGGTTCAGGGAGTGACCTAGTAGCGACCAGTGAAGAGGCGGGGCCAGGAGCTAGGACTCGGCCCCTGCAACCTCAATTAGGCGAGTACAACTAGGTGAGTACACACACACACACATTCTCGGTGCTACCTGACGAATGTGAGTGTTCTACTGGGAATGCCACAACGAGCACCAAGGAAGCATTGGCAGACGTGAGTAAGACATCCCTAGAAACCCCAACGAAGACCATCGAGAACGTCTTGACAAATTCCACAAGTGGTGTAATGCTACCTGACGAATGTGAGTCGACTACTCGGAGCATCACGACGGACGACGCCAAGGAAGGTAAAAACATTGTTGTTGTTGGGGATAGCCAGATTAGGTACATGGATAGGGCATTCTGCTTGAAGGACAGGAGTAGGAGGCAGAGAGTGTGTTTTCCTGGGGCTGGGATGAAGGATATTGTTAGCCGTCTGGATGACATCATGAGAGGTAATGTGAGCAATCCTATTATCTGTCTCAGTGCTGGAGGCAACGATGTTGGCAGACGTAGGAGTGAGGACCTGATTAGCAGGTATAGGTCAGCAATAGAGATAATTAGGAGGAAGGGTGGGAAGCCTGTCATATGTGGCATTTTGCCAAGGAGAGGAGTTGGAAATGAATGGTTGTCCAGAGCAATTGGTGTCAATTGCTGGCTGGACAAATACTGTAAGGAAAATGCGGTAACATTCATTGACAACTGGGACCTCTTCTATGGCAGAAATGACATGTATGCCAGGGATGGGGTTCACTTATCTAGGTGTGGGGTGGGAGCACTGGCCAACGCAGTGGAGGGAGCTGTTAGGTCTTTAAACTAGGAATAGTTAGTGGTATGGGTTTTGGCGGGAAAACAGTGAAGTTGCAGGGTAGGAGAACTAGTAATAGGCAAAACGAGGTGGATATTGGAAAGCCAGTGGCTTTAATTGACAAGGACAGTAATAGGTTTAGTGGAATAACAGAAAGGAGCAG